TTTTATTATTTATTTAAATATAAAAACTATATATGTATATATAATCATATATTTTCGGAAAATTTTAAATAAAATAAAAAAAAAATAAATTATAATAATTTTTTAAGATAAAAAATAAAGTTTAAATTCAAAAAAATCGAAATTCACATAATTAAATAATAATATCCAATAAATATTTTTATAATATCTAACACAAATATTTCTGACAGTAGAATTGATTTTAATAAAATTTGAGGTTATCTTATTATTTAGGCATTTAAAATTCATTTTACTTACCTAAATCGTCCATATTTAATATATATTAATTCTGCAGATATTGTTACACAAATTACACTCAAAATTTATAACAATTTTAAATTTAAATTACGATAAAATATGTTAAAGTTGATCAATTTACTTCTCTGAGTTAAGGAAAGCAAACATCAAATATGGAGAATCCGGTTCTCAGTTTATGACTTCCAGTATTCATCTAACCTTCATACAATTCAAATAATATAAAATTCATTAAATTTCCACTTAATTCAAATAATATATTTATATCTAATTTTTATTGTGGTATATTTATTATTTGTATTATTAATGAAAAAAATTTATTTTTTTATTTATTTTTTATTTGTTATAATACATTTATTTATATATTGTTATTCCTTTTGATAAATTATAATAAAAATAATAAAATACATAAACGATAGTTCGTTTCTATATAATGAAAATATAAAAATAATTTATATTTGTGATATAAATTTATATAATTAAATATATTGATATTTGAAATATACAGCTTCAAATAATTTCTATTTGTACATTTTTTTTTTTAAATAATTTAATAATTACCAAGATGAAAAATCACCAAATGAGTTTGTTACTGTTTTTTTCTTTTTAATTGTAGATGGTATACTTAATTCCTCTTTCTCTATCCTATAAATAAAATTAATAATTAATATTTTAGAAATCTATTAATATAAATTTCATAATACATATATAATATGACTGTACTTGTCTTCTTCCTTATTTGGTTTTATGTATTTTCCTACACCCGATCGATATATTTTTAATACATCATTTTTTTCCATTTTATTATTTGATTTATTTTTTGCAGCTTCTTGAGCCAATCGTTCAATTTCAGCAGCACGTTCAGTAGCTAATTGTTCATCTGCTTCTTGAAATGGATCAACAAATACTTGAGCTTTTTGAATTATTATATCTTCTATTGGTCTATCTTTGTTATCCACTTCAATTTTTTCAATGGCATTTAATGTTTCTAATCCACCTACTATTTTTCCAAAAACAGTATGTTTGCGATCTAAATGTCTACATGATCGAAATGTAATAAAACTGTAATTATATAAAACAAAATATATTAAATTTTATCTTAAATCATGCTTATAAATAAATATATAATAGAAAAAGAATAAAGAATATATACAATTGCGATCCATTTGTATTTGGTCCAGAATTTGCCATTGATAAAATTCCTCTTCCTTGATGAATCAAATTTGGTTTGAATTCATCTTCAAATGTTTTATTCCAAATCGATGTTCCTCCATTACCAGTATTTGTAGGATCACCTCCTTGTATCTAAATTAAATTGTTTTTAAATTCTTATTATTTTTATTATAAATTCTCAGTTTAATATATTTATATATTTACCATGAAATTTCGTATAGATCTATGAAATTTTGTTCCATCATAATAACCATTCTGACAATGTTTTATAAAATTTTCACAAGTTTTTGGAACAAGATCACAATGAAGTTCTAAATTTAAAGCACCAAAATTCATAACTAATCTTACATATCCTAGAAAAAAATATTATATGATTAAATGAAATATAAATTTATATAGATGCTATTATTTACCTTTTTTTTTAATCCTTTCATATCGTACTAAATCTTCTGCAATAACTGCTGCTTGATGTGTAGTTTCTGTTGGCATTACTGTTGATGTAAAACCAGCAGCAACTGCACCAGTGGAATAATGTGCCTACATTTCAAGTTTTTTTTAAAATTAAAAAAGGAAAAAAAATATATTAATAACATTAAAACATTAATATTAATATAAAATAAACATAAAATAAAAGAAAAAAATTAATACACAAACCGCATTAAATTTATCTGCTTTTGGTTTAGAGATTTCTTGTTTAATTTCAGTTTGTTTATAATTTCTATCTAATTCAGCTAATATTTCTTTAGTTTCCATAGACACAGTTTTTAATTTTGCATTTGGATTATTACGTTCCTTTATGATTTCTGTAATAATGCTTGTTTATAACATTTCAATATATATAAAATTCTCATTAAAATAAATTAAAATTCATATTTTCATAAAATATTACCTTCATCTTCAAGTTTAATATTATTTTTTATATGATGAAATGTAGATAAATTAAATTTTATGGCATTGTTTGGATCTTGTATTACAATAATGTCTTTTCGTGTAAAAGGTTGATCATTTATTAAATCTTTCCAATTACGTGTTTTTATATTTAATTGTTCTATTGCCTAAAAAAAAATTAAATTAAATTATTATGAATAAATATTTTTAAATTTAATTTTTACCTCATATGAAAACACATTTCCAGTTGGCTTAATGGCTATAATATGAGAATGTTTAGTAAATAATTTAAAAAGTACTGGACAATGATATTGCCCTTCTGAATTTATATGAAAATTAAGTTTTATTAAAGTTTTTGGATCTAATGGTTTTCCTGTAACAGGATTATGTTTATACTTTTTTATATATTCTAATATTGCTTCTAATTCAAAGATATTTCCTTGTGGATCACAATAAGGATGTTCAAAAGGCTGTAAAGTCAAACAACAATGATTATAAGGTAAACGACGAAATGTTGTATCTTCACTTGCTTCAGAACTTCCAGATTTTTTTCCACCATATAATGTTGTCCATTCTGTATATGTTAAATACCTACAAAAATAATAAATATAAGAAATTATATTAGAAAATAAAAAATTTTGTATTATAACCTCAATCTAACCCTTAATCTAATAACAATGATTAACAACTTACATTTTATCTTTTTGATGCTGACGTTTACCCATTTCGATTGTGTTATTATTTAACTTTCTTTTAAAAAAGAATTATGATAATTATTATAATAATTATATCTAATTAATTCAATATATTTCTTAATTATTTAATATTTATTTATTTTTGACATAAATTCATCACATTCATATTTATACTACAGCATAGTAAAGTTTTTTTTTAAACTTGGTAAACCTGATAAATTAACTATATACTTTTATACATTATATTGCTTTATTTGTATTTATAAGATTGTTTCAAATAAATTTTAGATTCAAAATTATATGATAAAACTTTATAAAAATGTCTAGTAAGATAATTAAAAAAGGAAATGCATTGAAAAAAGTAGTGAAAAAAGTAGAACATCGTACTCCTTTGCGAGTAATTATTCCTGCAGGAATGGCAAATGCTAAACCACCTTTGGGTTCACAACTTGGACAGGTTAAAAAATCTTATATTTTTTTCATTAATTTAATAAAATGATAAATTGTCTTTATTATAAAAATTAAATTATTAAAAAAAAATTAGTAACTAAATAACGTAATTGTTTTTAGTTTTATTAAGAATATAGATTATTTTATATATTTAATAATTATATTTATTAGTTTTTTATTTAATTTTTATTTAAATATTATTTTCAGAGAAATATTAATGTAGCAAATTTTTGTAAAGATTTTAATACAAGAACTGAAAACATTAAAGAGGGTATACCTTTACCATGTCGTATCAAAGTAAAATCTGATGGAAGTTATTCTTTAGTGATTCATAAACCACCAGTAACATTTTTTTTGAAACAAGCAGCTGGAATTCTAAAAGGAAAAGTAATAAAAGGTAAATTAAATATTATAAGATAAATTTATTTAATATTTATGCAAATTATATTCTTTAGATGAAGTAGCAGGAAAAATAACATTTAAACATTTATATGAAATTGCCTGTGTTAAGGCACAAGATCCACCTTTAGCATTATTAAGTTTACCACAGATTTGTGAAATGATTGTTGGTATAGCTCGAACATGTGGTATTCAAATTGTACGTACATTAGATCCAGAAGAACATGCAAAATTTATGAAGCAAAGGAAAGAAAATTATATGAAATTCCGTGAAGAATTACAGGAAATTAAAAAATCCAAAGTACTTAGGGCACTTTAAAATATTATATTCAAATAATTTATTATATATTATTAATAAAAGTAAGAGATAGTAAGATTTAAGTATATCACATGGCATTATGTAATTTTTCCTTCCTTGTTAAAACATGAATTTATCCTATTTAATATTTTATATAGATTTCCCACTGACAAAATTTTATTATTAATCACTTATTAATAATCTTTTAAATGATTATTATGGAAGTAAATTATAATTTAATAAATTATAAATTATAATTTATATAAATTATAATTAATATAAATTAAATTATAATTATAATTAATGTTTTATATTTGCTTAATAATTAAACAAATGAATTTTATAATGCATAATTCAAATAATATGAAAAATAATATTTATTAATTTTTATTATATTCTAATGTCTGTATTTTCTAAATGTATTTATGTACATTATGTAATACTATTCGAAAATGTAAGTAATTTTTATCGAAATCGAAATCGATAATCGAAAGATATGGTATCGATATATCGTTAATATATTAATCGTTTGGCAGTTATTAACCAACTTCATAGCGATTTGCTGACGTTCTATTCAAAGATGGCGGTGATAAGTACGCCATGTTTTTTGTGATGTTCGCGCATTAGGCAAATTTTTTGAGAATTGTAATCTATATGAGCAAAATGGCTGATGATGATCCATGGTTATTAAAGGAAGACGGTTACTTAAATGTGGATATTGAATGTAAAAGTATAATCTATCATGCTAATCTAAATGTGTTACTAATTACCACTGGCAGTGCGCAAGTATATGTATTTGATGTCAACTCAGGAGTAATTTTGCAAAAAAGTTCTTTATCTGGTAAGCATTTTTATTCATTCACTCTTCGTAAAGAAGTATTTATTATTGATAACAAGTCGTTTTATTATAAATCCTATAGATAATTTATTTGTAATGTTTAATCACACCTCATGGTCAAGGTCGTATACACGTAAAACGTCAGGCGTGACTAAAGTTTTTCTAATTCTAATCACTTTAATAAAGTAATCAATTTTTGTTATTAAATGATTTTCATGATTGATTTGTTATTCTTTAATATGTTATCAAATTTTTACAATCATTTGATGATTTTACTGTTGTTTAATTTTCAATTATGTTGTTCTTGAAAAATTAATTTTGTTATTTGTTATTAAGAGTGTTTTTTCATAAGAATTATTGATTTTTATGATTATACTGATTTTTATGTAATAATAATTTTTAAAAATGTAAATTTTATAAGATAATTATTATTATTTATTTTTTAATGATATATAAATGTTTTTATATTTTTGTTATATTTCATTTATATTATTTTCATATTTTTTTAAAATGAATTTATATTAAAAAAAATAAACTATATTTGCTTAATTTATAATTTAATAAATTAATGTATGATTATATAATAATGTATTTTAGGAAAATTAAATGGAAAACTTCAAGGGACATATTTATCAAATGGTGTAGATAAAATATTATATACTGATGGAAGAGGAATTGGAGTACGCAGTGATTATAATGGAGTACTCTTTTTAGACACACTTTTACAAACACCTGTTTCAAGAAGTGAAGATATTATAAAATTAGAATTATTGTTTTCTGAAGCTACTTTGTTATATCAGTGTCTACGATGTGTAGAGTTACCAGGTATAGATCATGTGCAAGAAGTGAAGGAAGAATTAATAAGTAAAACTTTTGTAATAGAAGCAAATCAAAAAAAGGGAATTAAAGCTCAAAAGGTAAATATAAATTAAAATTTTAATTATAAATTTAATTTTAAGTTATTAAATGATTTAACATTTATGTGATAATAATTTATTTTCATCATAGTGGAATACGGTATGTTTGGAATTACCACATAGTTCTTTGAAACTTGTGTGCTCAGGATTAGTAACAGAATTGAAAAGATTAAGCCGATATATTCCAGCATTGCCAATTGCTTCTGCCATTAATGAACGACTAAATGGCCTATTGCCAGGTCTGCCATTAGAAGGAGATCCTGCTGACAAAGCATTAATGTTTAGTGAAGCTACCCGCCGAGATACTTTTTCAAAATGGCCACACATGAATTACAAGTATTTAATTTTTTATTTTTTATTGGAATAATTGAATAAATAAATAAATAAATATATATATATATATAATATATATGTTGTTTTTTAGGTGGGCTTTACCAGATCAAATGGCTCAGGCTGGTTTCTATCATCAACCAAATGCAACAGGTGATGATAGAATAATGTGCTTTACATGCAATGTTTGTTTAGTTTGTTGGGAACCAACAGATGAACCTTGGTCAGAACATGAACGCCATTCTCCAGCATGCCCATTTGTTAAAGGAGAATATACGCAAAATGTTCCTTTGTCTGTCATCCTTGCTACTGCTCCTGCACGCGAGGTTGGTGATACTGTAGATGTGATTAGCACTACAAATGTCAGTGGTCTTGTAGCTACAGCTTCTAGCAGTGGTTTCATTAATGTCTGGAATGTAACGAATCAATTAAAGGTAATATATATTAATATATATTAATTAATATTTTTCATAAAAATATTTTCACATCATGTATTTCTCACAGAGGGAGGTATCATTTTATGTAGCTCCTATAGATCAAGAAATAAATAATAAGGACTCTATTCAATTTGGTTCCACAAGAAATTTGTCATCATATTTAAGGACACTTAATTCCGAAACAGATCCTCTTTCTGATTATAAGCATCCAGGTTCTCATAAAGTACAGGTCACAGCATTGTCTATAGTAGGATCTCCTAAATCTCAAAATAGTGAAACAAAAACATCTGGTTCTACGCTTTTACCTGTAGAGACATCGGACTCTAAAATCAGGCCATGTGTAGTGTGTGCTGTTACTGTGACAGTTAGTAATCCATCGCAATTAAGGACTTTAGAAAATGTGTGGGCTGCTTCAACAGATTTAGCTTCATCATCATCTCTTGTTCGTGCAATGAACAGTGTAAATAGTGCTGCCAGTGATACTTTAGATATAATGAAAGTAGCAGGTGATAAATACACACCATCAAGATTGCACTATTTAGTATTTTATGACTTTCACCACAAAACTGCAACAACACAACAAATTAAAGAAGATAATACTAAGGATAATACTAAGGCTAAAAAGACGTTATCTGGAACAGGCACTAGTGCTAGCTCAAATGGAGAACGTCAAGAAAATTTATATCAAGAATTCTTGGTTGGTAAATTTTTTTATGAAGTTCCAGTAATAGAAGATGTAGATTCTGATGTAGTTGGTCCACATTTTGATGGTATTTTTCCAACATCTGCCCTTACTGCATCATCTTCCAATGGGATTTATTCAAATCCAATTGGTATCACAGTACCTCCAACATCAAGTTCATTTGATGCCAATTTTAATCCTATTAATGGTCCAGAACATTTTGCATCAACATCTGATTTAACAACAGTCAACAAAAAAAGTTTGGATATCATGAAAATAACAAAGACTGAACCAATTGTTGTAAAAACTTTATCTATTGAAGCTCCTGATTTTGTTAAAATTACACATATTGAATCATCTAAAGATGGAAGACATTTATATGTTGCTATGTGTCCTATAACTGATAACACAGATTCGTTAATTTCAAATAATAATCAGATGGATATTGATGAAGATAGTGAATTTTTCCCACAGAAAGGTTATGTGTATTGGGACCATAATGATACACAATCTGATAGACTAATAAATGGTAAAATACATGATGATATAAATAATATGAATACCATACTACTTGTATATGCTTTGGATTTTTCGGGACAAGTAGTAAAGATATTTTCTGAACCAGTAGCAAAACGAGAATTATCTGCAGATGAAGCTCCTGTTGAACATGTGTTTTTACCTCTTCAAGAGAAAAATAAATGTACATTATCTGGTGAAAATTTTAGTACAAGTTCTACTACTAATTCAAATATATCAGAACCTGTAGGACAAGTAGCTCTAATATGCAGAGATGGTATTATCAGAGTATTAAATTTAAATTCATTGA